GGGGGCGCCCATGAATATCGGAGGGGGGTGAGATCGCAGTGAAACGGAGACCCCCCACCGGGAAATCGGTTTCGGTTTCGTGTTCGTGTCGTGCGTGCGGGCGAGGCGAAGCTGCGCGTGATCCTCCTGTAGCCAGGCCAAAATAGGAGCGAAAGTCCGTCCGCCCAGCAGCTGGTGGCCGATTGGGCCGGGCGGTGTCCCGGGTGTCCTGGGTGTCCCGGGCGTCCTGGTATCGATATTGAGATCGATGTGGTGCCCCGACCTGTGGTGTCCCGTGGTGCCCCAAAAAGTGACACCGATAGTGAGATCGACAATGAGATCGACAGGTGTCCCGTGGTGTCCAGTGGTGTCCTATAGTGTCCCGTTGAGTGAGACCGATAGTGAGACCGATAGTGAGATCGATGAGGTGCCCCGATGTGTCCCGCGTGGTGTCCCGTGGTGTCCCAAACAAATGAGATCGATAATAAGATCGATAATGAGATCGAGAGGTGTCCCGCCGTGTCCCGTGGTGTACCGTGATGTCCCGTTGAGTGAGATCGATGGTTAGATCAACAGGTGTCCCTCGGTGCCCCGTGGTGTCCCGTGGTGTCCCGTTGAGTGAGATGTGGTGCACCGAGGTGTCCCTCGGTGTCCCGTGGTGTCCCGTTGTGTGAGCTCGATAGTGAGATCGATGTGGTGTCCCGAGTTGTCCGGCGGTGTCCCGTGGTGTCCCGCTGAGTGAGATCGATAGTGAGATCGATACCTAGATCGAGAGGTGTCCCGCGGTGTCCTGTGGTGTCCCGCTGAGTGAGATCGATAGTGAGATCGATAGTGAGATCGACAAGTGTCCCGCGGTGTCCTGTGGTGTCCCGTTGAGTGAGATCGATAGTGAGATCGATTGAGTCAGGTGTTGGTTCCCCCCCCTCTCCCCCCCCCACAACCCACAACCTCCTTGTCACCCGACGAGTGGTCGTAGATGTGTGTATCTATATATATATATATATATAAAAAAAAAAAAAAAATCGGAATTTGCGGGGTGAGATCGCAGTGAAACGGAGACCCCCCCACCGGGAAATCGGTTTCGGCTTCGTGTTCGTGTCGTGCGCGCGGGCGAGGCGAAGCTGCGCGTGATCCTCCTGTAGCCAGGCCAAAATAGGAGCGAAAGTCCATTCCCGCCCGCCAGTGGCTGGGAGGTGTCCCAATTGGGCCGGGCGGTGTCCTGGGTGTCCCGGGTGTCAATGGAGCGAAAATCCGTTTCCCGTCCGCCGGTGGCTGGGAGGTGTCCCAATTGGGCCGGGCGGTGTCCCGGGTGTCCCGGGTGTCCCGGGCGTCCCGGCGCTAACGCATGTCGCTAATTTCATATATATATATATATATATACATATACATATATATATATATATATATGTATATCGGCGCCTGCGGCGGGCTTTCTTATCCAATCCAGCTTATCTCTTCCAATCCATCTTGTCCAATCCAATATATCTTACATTATCCAACCCATCTTGTCCCGTCATATCTTATCCCACCCAATCCAGTCCACCCAACCCAATCCATCAACTCATTTGTTTCTGCGCCTGCGGCGGGCCAATCCAATACATCTTATCTTATCCAATCCATTTCTTCCAATCCAACCCATCTTATCTTATCCAATCCAATCAGTCAGGGTGGGCATTTGATCTCAATCCCCCCCAACCTCCTTATCGCCCGCAGGGCAGTCGTATAGGTATACCTATGCGACCACCCTTCGGGTGATAAGGAGGTTGTGGGGGTGGGGAGAGGGGGGGGGGAACCAACATCTGCCTCAATCAATCTCACTATCGATCTCACTCAACGGGACACCATGGGACACCACGGGACACCACGGGACACTTGTCGATCTCACTATCGATCTCACTCAACGGGACACCACGGGACACCACGGGACACCGCGGGACACCTCTCGATCTCACCATCGGTCTCACTATCGATCTCACTATCGATCTCACTCAGCGGGACACCATAGGACACCACGGGACACCTCGGGACACCACATCGATCTCACTATCGATCTCACGATCGATCTCACTATCGATCTCACTCAACGGGACACCACGGGACACCACGGGACACCGGTCGATCTCACTATCGATCTCACTCAGCGGGACACCACAGGACACCGCGGGACACCGCGGGACACCTCTCGATCTAGGTATCGATCTCACTATCGATCTCACTCAGCGGGACACCACGGGACACCGCCGGACACCTCTCGACTCTCGATCTCAATATCGATCTCACTATCGATCTCACTTTTTGGGACACCACGGGAAACCACGGGACACCTGTCGATCTCACTATCGATCACACTATCGATCTCGCTCAACGGGACACCACGGGACACCACGGTACACCTCGGGGCACCACAACGATCTCAGTATCGATCTCACTATCGATCTCACTCAACGGGACACCACGGGACACCACGGGACACCACAGGACACCACGGGACACCACGGGACACCCGCGGGACACCGCGGGGCACCGGCCGCCGGAGGAATTACATTTGGTCCGGCCGCGGCCCAGCCACAGGAGGATTTCGGAAAACCCGCGGGACACCCGCGGGACACCGCGGGGCACCTCCCGCCGGAGGAGTTGCATTTGGTCCGGCCGCGGCCCAGCCACAAGAGGATTTCCTCTCGCCCGCCCACGCAGCTTCGCCTCGCCCGCACGCACGCACGGCACGCACGACACGAACCCGAAACCGAAATCGATTTTCCAGTAGGGGGGGTCTCCGTTTCACGTCGGACTCACCCCCAACCTCAGATATATATATATATATGTGTATATATATATATATATGTATGTATGTATGTATGTATGTATGTATGTATGTATGTATGTATGTATGTATGTATGTTTGTGTGTGTGTATGTATGTATGTATGTATGTATGTATGTATGTATGTATGTATGTATGTATGTATGTATGTATGTATGTATGTATGTATGTATGTATATGTATGTATGTATGTATGTATGTATGTATGTATGTATGTATGTATGTGTGTATGTATGTATGTATGTATGTATGTATGTATGTATGTATGTATGTATGTATGTATGTATGTATGTATGTATGTAAACATATACATACATACATACAGACAGACAGACATGCATTTATGCATGCATGCATGCATGCATGCATGCATGCAGACAGACAGACAGACAGACAGACAGACAGACAGACAGACAGACATGCATGCATACATACATACATACACATGGATTGGGGTTCCTATGGTGCTGCTCCTCCTCCGTCTCATCCTCCCCCTCTCCCTCCTCCCCGTGCCAGCGCTGCGTCCTGAGTATCGATCGGCTGCTGGTGGCCCTAGAGGCCCGAGGACGCACCCGCGGGAGCCGCATTGCTCTCAGAACTCCATACACGGCTGGCGTCGCAAGCATAGCGTGCAACATCGATCTCCGAAAAGCACGCTATCCCTGTGAGGCGATCCCCCGCGAGGGCTCTTCTCGGGTCGGGCGAAAGGGGGGGATAGCAAAGGGGGGGGTTGAGAATCAGCTCACGTAGCTGATTTTCCTGGCGCCTCCAGGCGCCGGTAGGCGCCCATATATCGAGGAAGGGGCCCAGCGGCGGGGCCGAAACCAGCTGCATGCAGTAAATTTCGTACCCCCCCCTTTCCCAATCCCCCCCTTTCGTCCGGCCCGATCTTCGGCGCACGCTGTCCCCCCTGCGAGGGCCTCGTCGGAGCATGCTGCACCCCTGCCCGGGGCTTCCTCGGCGCACGCGGACCCCGAGGAAGGGGGACAGCGTGTCAGAAGCAGGCCGGCGGCGCCACGTCGCACACTATCTTTCCAACGCAGAGGCCTCCTCCTCCTCCTCCTCCTCCTCCTCCTTCTCTCCCCCTCCTCCTCATCCCTCCCCTCCTCCTCCCTCCTCGCACGCTCGAGCCCTGCGTAGAGGCCTCCCAGATGGGGTCCGAGTAGATGGGGTCCGAGTAGATGGCGCCGCATCGCCGATGCATAGGCGATACAGCGCCGATGCATCGGCGATGCACCGGCGACGCCGGCGATGCGTCGCCAACGTCCTGGCGGCGAGAATCAGGCTCCGCATCGGCGAGGAGGCGCGATCCCCCGACCCCACCTGCTCGGACCCCATCCGAGAGGCCTGGACAGCGCCAACCGTTCACGGTAATGGGCAACAATTCCGCCGCAACAATGAGGGGCAACGAGAGGGGGGCGGGAGGCAAAAGAGGGAGAAACATCTAGGGGAATAAAAAGTGGCGTAAACATAAAAAAACGGAGGTCCGCGCGGATTTCTCGGATCGACGCTGGGGCCCCCCGGCGGCGACTCCGGAGCCGCCCCTGGCGCGCTCCGCGCGCCAGGGAGGGGGGTCCAACGCCGATCCGAGAAATCCGCGCGGACCTCCGCGTTTTTATGTTTATGCCACTTTTTGTTCCCCTAACATCGACCTGGAATCGGCGGTGCATCGCCGATGCATCGGCGACAGGCCCCCGATGGCAGCTCCGCACCTTCCTGGGCGGGGTGGGGCTGCCAGGCCCCTGTCGGCGATGAGTGGGCCATGCGGGGGTCCATGCATCCCACCATGCCTATTTGGCGGCGCGCAAAAGGGGGGGGGAGGGAGGGGGGGGGCTTCTTAGAAGGAGGCTGCTTCTTAGAAGGCGTCGGCCTTGCATCTGTCGATAAGGCAGACGCCTTCTAAGAAGCAGGGGTGCTTCTGAGAAGCCCTCCCCCTCCCCCCACCCCCCTCTGTGCGTGGCCGACCTGTCCCCCTCCATCTAGACGAGCGCCGCCGCGGCGGACCTACGGTAAAAGTTGCATCGAAGCACACATGGGTTCTTCGGCGTTTGCGAGCAGGCCCTTGGCGAGTCGTGGAACACGCGTTCGGTGACTGTCGCTGCCCGTATACGGCTGGACCTAGGACGGAAGAGCATCCTCCAAGAGCAGAAGCCCCTCCGCCGGCCCCCCTCGAGGTCTGCGGCGGGGGGCGGCGCGGGCGCCTGCTCGTGCGGGCACGCCTCGCGGGAGGCGCGGGGGGGGGGAGGGAGCAGCCGGCGCTGGCCGACGCCGGCGGACGCGGCCGTCGGGGAGGCGTCCGGGAGAGGCGGGCGCTGCTGGCGGCGCTCCTGCCGTCAGCAGGCCACCACACCAGAGGCCTCCGAGTACAGTCAACCCGAACAATAAGGATGCGCGGTTAGGATGCAACGGCCTTGGGCGCCCATGCCGAGGCTCTTCGAGAAGGGCTGGCCATCGCAAGTGGTCGAGAATGGGCCGAAGATGATCGAAGAGGCGAGGATGCAAGGGTACCCTTGGGGGGGAATCGGTAATCCTTACTACTTATGCGGATTGACTGTAGATGGGCTTGGAGGATCGCGCCGCATCGACGATACATGGCTGACGCATCGACGATGCATCGGCGGCGTCGGCGATGCACCGGCGGCGTAAGCGCAGAAAAAATGGGGCTCTCCAGCGAGCCGCATCGCCGATGAATCTCGGCGATGCTTCGCGATCCTCAGATCCCATCTGCCTCGACCCCATCTGGAAGTCCTAGACACACATGTGTGTGAGGCGAGCAAATATCCATGACCACCGCCTGGGTGATCGATTTTCGGGGGCTCGGCAAGCGGTGAACATGAGAAGATTGCACCCCACGGCTGCGGGTAAGAGTGATTGGGACCAGGAAGGAGAGGAAAGGAAGTGGGGAGCGGAGCTACGAGCAGGCGTTTCTTCAGACAGTCGTCCTCCCCAGCGCGCCCCCCCAGCACGCCCTCCCAGCGTGCATGCCCAGCGTGTCTTCCCAGCGAGCTCTCCCAGCGTGATCTCCCAGCGTGCCCTCCCAGCGCACCAGCAACGCGCGCGCAGGGATCATGTACGACCATTCGGGCATATGGCCCACCGAGGGTCCGAATCATATATATATATATTGTATATATATACATATATAAACACATATACATACATTCCCGCCGCCTGCCAGGGTGTCCGACGACGATCGATCCCCCAGGCGGATAAGCCCCCAACTCGTCGATGTCTCCCCCTCTGGGCCCACCCAACCCCCGAAGAGGAGCGGGGGCTCCCGACTTCCTCCCGCCAAAAAAGCTCTTTGCCAGGCGCATCTGCTGGAGAGCGTCCCGAGGTTGGAAAGCCGCCGAGAACCAACAAAAGCGCCCGAAGCCCAAAACCTCGAACCAATTAGCCCTCCCCCCTAACGGCAGGTTCATGTCGTGACGACATCGGCAGTGGTTTCCGAGACCGCGTGGATCGCCGAACCGATGACCATCGACGGCTGTTCGATCGCCGAATCGTTCCATATTAGCCGATTCTGAACCTCTGGCTGCGCTCGAATTTGAGCGCCCGCGGCGGGGCCGCCACCACGTCAACACGAGACGAACAGACCGTAGCCTAGTCACCCCTCCCCGAAGTGGACGAGGGGGAACGATAGAAGGGGGGACCTGCTCACAGCGGGAAACATCGACTCGGAATCCGCGACGCATCGCCGACAGATCGGGGCCCCGATGGCTAAACCGCCACACGATCCTGGGCGGGGTGGGTCATCAGGCCCCCATCCGGCGATGCGTGGGCATCTGGGGGTCGATGCGTCGTCCTCTGATCGGCGGAGCGCCCAGGGGGGAGAAGGCAGAGGGGGCGGGCCTCCTCAGATTGCTCGGAACGCCGCTGGCCTTCCGAGCAGCTTTCTACGCCTCCTCGGAACGCGCAGACGACTCCTCGAGCGGCGCGAAGGCTGCTGGGAAGCCCCGCCGCCTCCCGAGAAGGCCCGCCCCCTTCTCACGCTCCCCCCCCTCGGCGCGCCGACGGCCCGATCCTGTGGATCCTCTTTACGCTGCCCCCCCGAGGAGGGCCAGCAGATCGACCCCTGGAGCTCCCCTGGGGCGCGCTGTGACCAGAATTTCCAGGCGGATCCAGCCGTGGCCACGAGGGCGCCCCAGGACGAGCAAGAGCCTCGAGAAAGCGATCCTCGATCCTCCAACCTTGAGCCTACCCCCTTCTGATTTAGGCACCCGCCTTCTCTAGCATAGAGATGATCCAAACAAGGCCCTGATCGAAATTACCGAATGTGATCAAGGAAAACCCTTGATACGCTTGATCCGAGGTAACTCCTGCTGTGCCATTTAGTGCTCCTTGGAAGTCAACAGTGGATCGGGATAGGCCCAAGAAGCAAGGATGCAAGGGTAGCCTTGATGAAACAGTGCACCCTTTGTTATGGACTTGTACTGTATCCCTGACCACCCCCTGCCCTGATAACTCGGGGCTCTGACTATCTAGGGATCTCCTAGGTGGGGTTCGAGTAGACGGGTCGGAGGAATGCATCAGCGCCATCGGCGTGGAGGAAGTCGGGCTCCACATCGACCCGCATCGCCGACGCATCGGCGATGCGGCGCGATCCTTCGACCACCTCTACTCGGACCCCACTGGGGAGGCCTAGACCCCCGCACTGATAACTCGGTGCTCTGACGCACGCTGCCCCCGAGTGGAGCGCCCCTGGCGGCCACCCAGGCCTGCGAGGTCCTGACTCTGTAGCAACGCGCAGCCCCTGGAAGCCCTGACCCCTTCCCCTGGGCCAGTCCTTCGTCCCGAGTCGACGCTTCGCAGGCCCCCAGGGCCAGGCGAAGACCCCCAGAGGCCGAAAGCTGCCAGAGACCTTGCCTCGTGACTTCTCTCGCGCCGCGAGCAGGCCTGGGAACGCTGCCCCCCCCAAGTGAAACGGAGCCCTGGGCGGCCACCGAGAGGCCGCCGCGCGCGGCGCCACCGCTTGCGCGCGCGCGCGCGCCGCGGCGCCTCGACGCCCAGGGCGTACAGGCGCGAGCGCCAGAGCGGCCCGGCCTGCCGCGCAACGGCCGGCTCGGCACGCCGGCGACCCGCCGGCTGCTGTCGCAGGGCGTGGCCGTCGGCGTCGGCGTCTCGTGGCTCTGGTCGTGCAGACGGGCTACAGTGACAGAGGAGATGCCAACGTGGAATGGGTGCAATATGAGACACCACAAAACAGCGAGGGGAAAACGGCGTGAGCTTCAAGAGGATGTTTGTTTCGATGACCCATCTCCCAACTAGAAAAGAATGCGTTCGAAAATTACAAAAGAAAACAGTGTATCAAGAAAGTCCGGGGCTCTTTTGGCTTTCCCATCGAAATCCGCTCTGCGAAGTTAGCGCCATGAGGCGTCCCCGACGTGGCCCACCGCCGTCGCCATCACCGTTGACGTTGTCGACGTCGCCGCAGTCGTCGGCGTCATCGCCGTTGGCGTCGTCGCCGCCGCCGTGGACGTCGCCGCCCCGCCTTGGACGTCGCCGGCGTGGCCGCCACAGTCATGGCCGACGGCCCCGTCGCACCGTCGTCGCTGACGCTGTCGCCACTGGCGTCGTGATGTCGCCGTCGCCGATGGCGTCGTCGCCGCTGCCGTCGACGTCACTGGCGTGGCCGTTCGGCGTCGTCGTTCTTCCTGCCGCCATCTCAGCCCTCTCGAAGAGAGGGTCCTCCGTCCTCCTCTTGAACCATACTCTTCGAGTAGCGGCAGGAGGATTGGTAGCAGTGGCGGCGGCTGCGATTGAGGACATTGAACCCACGATACCTTCCTGGAGGGTGGCGGTTCGCGGCCTCGCTCGAGCACATGCGGTGCCACATCATGATTGGTGACGTCCGTCGTCCCGAGGGCAGACTGGGGCAGTGCCGCGCCGTGCCGTGGTGCCGTGCCGTCACGTAGTGCCGTGGTGCCGTGCTGTCACGCGCGGGGGGTGGCAGTGCCGCGCCGTGCCGTTGTGCCGAGCCGTTGCGTGCAGGTTGGTTGTGCGCTGGCCTGCGGTGCGCCTGGTCTGGGCGTGGTACAAATACCAGCCAGGCACCCTGTTCAGGGTGGTGGCCGAGCTCCGCTTGGCAGCCGACGGGGTCGGTCCCCCGCCCGCTCGCCCTTGCGTGGGGATGTTGGGGTTGTGAGCTAGCTGGGCGGGGTCTTCGGGAGGCTCTCGTCCCCGCAGGGCCCGCCCAGCAGCACCGTACACGCATGTGCCATCAGAGGGCGCGCAGCCACACCCCAGAGCCACGGGGGGCCAATCCTCCTCCTCCTCCACCTCCTCCTCCTTCTTCATATTCCGCCACTTTGTTCCGCCGGGCCACAGAGCCCTCCAGGGTGGTGACACCAGGAAACGGGGCCCATTAACGGGGTCCCAAAAGCATATTACTTCAAGTCCTCCTAAAGATTCCCTCCGCCTCCTCCTCCTCCTCCTCCTCCTCCTCCTCCTACTCCTCCTCCTCCTCCTCCTCCTCCTCCTCCTC